TTCTATTTGGTCCTGGCGGCAAAATCAATTAAGTAAAACAACTGCATTTAAAAACGACTAGTTATGTGTTTTTTAATTACAGCAGGTCCATGATTCAAACCTATTGACATTGCTGTCTCAAGAGAAAAAAAAATCAAGGTTTTTCTCTCTCTTCATTCTCTTTTTTTTTTCTCTCTGTTCACTTGATTTGGAGATTCTGTTTTCAGATTAGTATAAGGAAAGAAACATTTATAAGCAGACAGATGGTTCAGAGGACATGTGTTCACAACACAGTGACTTTTAGCTTCAGGTAACACTTGTCTGTCAGATGAAGAGAGAACCTGTTAAGGAGAAGAACCGTAAGGTGGCCAGGAGCATGCTGGGCTACATGATTCCATAAGGAAAGCAAATATGCGGACAGAAAACTTTCCAGACGAAGCCAAACTGGAACTCTCCATCTCTTCCATTCCCCTACATTCTTGTATTATAGGGCAGGCCTGTAGAGACTAGCATAATGGCCAGAATTACTAGACTACCTGTTGTAAGGGTGACAAACTTCTCTAATGATTGAAGCAGGAGGTTCAGTAGTCTAAATTCTGGGAAAATGCAGTTCAATTGTGTTAAGAAAACATATAGACAGAATAAAACTATACTGTCAATCCAATCATTTTTATCAGCATTGAATGTATGCAGAAAAAAACAGGTTTCCATATCATTTCTGGCAGGAATAATATATATAATACTCTTTCATGGCTAAGCTTGTTCAGAAAACATCATTTGAGAAAAGTTGTCTCTTGCATGTCTCTTAGGCGGAAGAATTTCATTTCAAAATTTGTGAATCAGGACACGGAAGCCGGGAGATCGCTCGTGCCCAGCCCGGTGCTCCCGCTGGGATCCAAGGGGGAGTTTGTGCAGAGCCAGAGGTTGCAGGCTGGGGCAGGAAGGGCAAGGACTGCAAGGGGGCTGGGAATTGCTGGAGGCTCCGGGAGGAGGAGGAGAGCACGTGCACATGGGGCAGGGAGCGCAGCAGCTGAGATAAAGCAGCAGCACCAATACCACTGAGCTCCAGGATCCCCACCTAGCAAACTGGCTTCATCCGTTAGGAAATGCTGCTTTTGCAGGAAGCTGGAAGCAGTTAGTGCTCCTGCCAGCGCAAGGGCTGCTCAAGCTGTATGTCCCAGAAAGGCAAAAGTGAGCAAGAAGCTCCCTGACACGGACGCAGCCTCTTGCAGAGCAGGGGTCCAGGTCCTCCTTCCCAAGGCGAGTCGCTGCCCCTGCTTCAGAAGGGCAGGGAGTTCTCAGAGCAGCCCTTCAGAGACAGGAGGCTGAGCCTCCCATGGCCCACGGGCACCCGGCTAGCAAGTACCCTGAGCAAAAACTGCATCCACTCCTTGCAGGACTGATAATTAGCAAGCAGGGGTCGGGAGCAGCCTCGGAACCACCCTGACACAGTACTTAGGGGGCTCCCATGCTTCCCTCAGGGCTCTGAGCTCGTCTCAGAGGGCCTTATCAAAGTGGCTGTTGCCATCTGTAATCCTGGCAGGAGATGAAACAAGCCCACTTTCCACCAGGTTTAATAAAGCTTTAAAAGGGAGAAAATGAACTTTCAGGCTACTCTTTCCAACGAGCTGTGCAGCCAGCTGCAGGTTTACAGCTGCACAGGTGAGCAAGCAGTGTCCCCTCAGGTGGCCTTTTCCCTCATTAGCCTCCTGTTTATCCACAGCCCCACCAGGCACAAGCTCAGCCAGTGAACACACGTGTGCATGTGTCACTATAGTCCAGCGGCTGAAAAAACAGACTTCATTGTTTAACTCTAAAGAATGAGGCTCTTTTAATTTTAAAATATGCAAAATCTTTTCATGATGGTTGGTATTAGTATTCACACCTCAGGGAGCAGAGATAAAAGCTCTTCTGAGGTCTACTTAGACCTTTATTAGTACATATTTGTGCTGAGGTTGCACCTAGAGGCTCTCAAGCCTGGAGTGCCACTGTGCGGGTGCACAGCCATCATGGGCCCTAGTTCACCTAGAGGCCTCCTCACAAGCTACAGTGTCTTCCCACAGCAGACACTTCTCTGCCAGAGTTTTGCGGGGCACACTAGCTCTCAGAGAGGTTACAGTGCCAAGCACCAGAATGCCTCAGTATTTTGGAGGATCCTGTCCTTAAAGATGTAGAAATTACAGGACAGCAACTGGATTCAAGCTCTTAAACCAAACTCCTCTCTGAAAACATTCCCTTATGTGACTCCCTGAAATGTTCTGACAAGTCTTTGGTAGAGCTAGAACTTAACCCAGATATCCTGAATAGGCTGGAGCCTGGTGTCTTCATCTCCAAACCACACATGTTAAATGTGCACATCTTGCTAGTTATTTTCCTTTGGAATTATTGCCTCTTATTCCTAGCCTATTTATACTCATACGCTGTAGCAAATGATCAAATTCCAGCATGGTTCTCCAGACCCTTTACATGGTCTGGACAGAATGAGGCCACTACAGGGACAAAATTTATGGGTCCTATGTCGAAGGTTTCCAACACTACCCAGGAGGGTCTTGAAAATTCTGGTTTCCCATATCAACTTACAGGGAACCTTCACCCAACTCTGCCAAGCTGAAACAATCCAATAGAAATGAGTCGCTGACACTTTTCAAATACTCAGCATTTCCCAGGAGGAGAGTCCTTCGCCATAGCATTTCAAGACTGCTTTCAAATGTTTTCAAGGACTTCAAAGGACTCTTCGGCTTAGAAAGAGATGCAAGGAGGGAGTGCCACCGAGATCTATAAAATCACTTCTGCCACACAGAATGTGACTGGCAATGTTCATTCTCTCCTCAGAAGATTCAGGAGCAGCAAATTGTCTATTAGCGCACAAAATTAGCAGGTAGGATTAAAACAGGAAAAATGAAATATTTTTTTCCACACACTAATTAAACTATAGAACTCATTGCCACAGGACGTTGTGAATGCCAGAAGTGCGGGGAAATTCAAAAAGCAATTAGACAAATCAATGAAGAAAATCCATCACAAGTTATTAAACAACCAGACACAATTTCTGGCCCAGGAAATCTCTAATGATCATATCAATGGAAGCTGAAAGATCATACCAGGGAAAGTTTGCCATACTTTTATAACTCTTATCTCTCAGCCAGTGTTGGCTGCAGTTGGAGGCTGAGTGGCTTTACCTCTTGATCTTATCAGTACAGCCATCTTATGTTCTTCAGCAGTTCTTCCCACCAGACTGACTTATCTCAATGACAGCAGGATGGAAGATGGAGGAATTCATTCATATGCTGCTAGCCTGGGACTTGACAGGCTAGAAAGTTACTGACCTGTGAGTTATGGAGAGTACAGAGGGCATGGGGGAACCACAGCTGGAGGTGGTCTTAGTAACAAGGTTCTTCACAAAAAGCGTCATTCAGCTTTCAGACAATGAGGTGGATTCTGTTACCGAAAGTACAGTAGACTGTCCAGAGTTGGGGTTCAGTGTGAAGAGCCCCCGTAGCAGACTCTGCCAGGGCCTGGCAGATCTGGAGAACATGTGGCAGGAGCTGAGGAGCGCCAGCACAGAGAGGCCATCTCCAGATACTTGCTTGTGGAAATCTCTTGGCTGACACTAGGACTC